TGATCTCACCTCCCACCCTTGCCCAGGTTCCCAGCAGGAAAAACAACAACAGGGGAGGCCTGCTTTGTAAACCAGATTATAACAGGAGCCTTAAACGTAAATGCTACGATAGCAGGACATATAAAGGTGACACTGATCATTGGTATAACTTTGTCTTTTATTGGTAGTGACATCTCTGAAGTGTCAGACATGTGTTGCCCTTGGAGATAAATGTGAAGGAGAGGCTGTGAAGGTGGTGGAGTGCAAAGAAGATGAAGAATTTTGTTCTACTGTAGTTGCTAATACTACTATAAGTAAGTGAAAATTGAGTTTGTTCTCAAGTATGTCCATTACTTGGTTTCATTTTTTGTATAATATGTGTATATTGATTAGAACACAGACCACCAGAGTTAGAAGGAACCTTGGAAGTCTTCTAGTCCAACTGTCTGCTCAAGCAGGAGACACGACACCATTTCAAACCAATGACTGTCCAGGCTCTTCTTGAAAGCCTTCAGGGTTGGAGCACCCACAATGTCTGGAGGAAAGCCATTCCCCGGATTGTTCTCATTGTCAGGAAATGTCTCCTCAGTTTCAGGTTGCTTCTTTCCTTGGTTGGCTTCCATCCATTGCTTCTCGTCCCGCCTTCAGATGATTTGAGAATAAGTTGGCTCCCTCCTCTTTGTGGCAGCTCCACAAAGGGAACACTGCTATCATGTCGCCCCTAGTCCTTCTTTCTTACTTGAGTGGACATATTGAATTCTTCACAGGTTTTAGCCTCCAGTCCCCAATCATCTTTGTTTTGCTCTTCCCTGCATTCTTTTCAGAGTCTTAACATCCTTGACAACATATGTCACCCACTTCATTGATTTATTTTTATTTTATTTGGTTTGTCAATTGCTTACAAGATAATAGGTATAAGTAAAAACATAGTTGTGAATACATGGATACATATAAGAAAAATAAAAGAAACAATAGGACAGTGACGGTAGGCACGTTGGTGCGCTTATGCACGCCCCCTACAGACCTCTTAGGAAAGGGGTGAGGTCAATAGTAGACAGTCTAAGGTTAAAGTTTTTGGGGTTTGGGGAAGAAACTACAGAGTCAGGTAGAGTATTCCAGACATTGACCACTCTGTTGCTGAAGTCGTATTTCCTGCAATCAAGTTTGGTGCGATTAACCTTGAGTTTGTATCTATTGTGTGCTCTTGTGTTGTTATGGTTGAAGCTGAAGGATTCATTGACAGGTAGGACATTGCAATGTATGAGTTTATATACTAAGATCAGACCAAAGGCGGTGTAGTTCTAGGTTTTCTAGGTCTAGAATTTCAAGTCTGGTGGCATAAGGTATTCTGCAACGAGTAAAGGAGTGGAGAACTCTTCTTGTGAAATATTTCTGGACTTTCTCAACTGTGTTTTTCACTATCAAGCAACAATAAATGCTAACATTTTGTATCTAAGTTGGGCTAAAACATGATTGGATTGGGGAGTTTCCTTCAATGACTTCTCTTCGGGGTTCATTGAGGGACCATAGTCCAATCTTATTTGCCGGATGTAATTTTTTTTAAACGTACGTGCATGATATGATACACGGGGACAAGAATGGACAAGTGATGAAACACACATCCTGATGTAGCAATCTACACTCTGCCCTTTTGAATGTGCATCACACATTGCAAGCTAAACAGAAGGAGCTTACATTACTTTCTCACAATGCAAGGTTCATCGTTCTGTAAAAAGATTCTGCAGTTACCTGTGCTAAAATGTTTCTTGGGAATAAATAAATCTTCTAAGGTGCCAACATCTACATGAAAGCCAATGAGGTTTATTAATTCAGGTTAGGATTAGGAATCTCAGTTGGAGAAGTTTGGCTGGCCTGTTATTTTCTGCAGGTCCAAGGACGAGTATAGTGGGATATGTGCTGGGTTGGAAGCAGGAAGATTCAGCCATGGAAGTTCACTCAATAGTTTGGGTGGATCAAACTTTCACAGCCCAACTAACCTTAGTAGTTTTGTAGAGAAAAGTAACAAGTGGAAGGGCTATGAGCTCCTAAACAAAAAGGATATACAGTTCATAAAGTGAAATAAACACGGGTATTTAGTGATTTCTTCCAAAATACAACAGCCAAATGAACAGGTTTGATATGCATTTCTTCATTTTCTGCTGAGTTCCATATTTTTTTTAAAATTCCCTTCTGCAGCCAATATTGCCATGAGCTTAATTGTCAAGGAATGCTCAACACGTGAGGACTGTTTTGAGAGCCTCTTCAGCACCACAACAGTAGGTGGTAGATTTGAAGTAGCAAGAGCTAACTGTTGTGACACTGATGTCTGCAATGCAGAACCGCTTCTGTGTAAGTATCTACAACTTAATGCATTCTTTTTCAAACTCAAGCTTTTTTTAAAAAAAAAACTCTTGCTTTTTGCAAAGAATCTTGGGTTCTTTGATTCCATCTGAGCTGGAATTGAACTCAAATATGTGAAAAGAATGTCAAGTTGGAGGAGGCTGTGATACACATTAAAAGGGTTAGTGGTTATTATGAAACTTTGCTAACTGGAATATTTGCTTCCTCCAGTGGAAAAGTATGAAGAGTTTCAACCAAATGGATTACAGTGCCCAGGCTGCTTTGCACTAGATGAGGATCACTGTAAAGCCAATCAATCTGTAGTCTGTGTTGGCGAAGAGGATCAGTGTCTTACCATAACCAGTTCCACAGAGGCTTGTGAGTAGATATTTCCTTCCTTCCTTCCTTCCTTCCTTCCTTCCTTCCTTCCTTCCTTCCTTCCTTCCTTCCTTCCTTCCTTCCTTCCTTCCTTCCTTCCTTCCTTCCTTCCTTCCTTCCCCTTTCCTTCCTTTCCCTTCCATTTTTTAAATAAAGGAAGATGATCTATTTGGAGAAACTTTATCAATATATGGTAACCAGATTTGTATCATGTTTTTCAAAGACCTTTATGTTTCCATAAAGGCCACAAGAACATCAAGGCCAGAATATAAATAATAAAGAAACAATCTGCATTGCTTTATAATATCTATTCTATAGAGTCTCATATGCACCTTTTCTGTCTTTTTCTTATCTCCAGTTGGAAATTTCACTGAAAAGTCCACTTACCAAGGATGTACGACACAGAACCTATGTTCCTTCCCTCTAGGATTTTCTGAGATGGCCGGTGGGCTGATTCAGTTAAATATCACCACTCTGGAATGCAGAAATGCATCTTCTTCTGAACCAGATCTTCAGTTATAGTTGGGAAGAGCCGAAGCTTCTTTGCAATTATTGGGAAATTTGTAAAAAAATTAGGAAGTTGGAGATTTAATAATGAGATAAGTAGAGATTGGAATCAAAGATGCTTTTGATTCTTACCTGAGTCAGTAGGGGAAAGCTGGAAATTTGGGGCAAAAAATATCATGCTTTGCGACCACAGCTCAATAAAATATGTGTTTTCGATCCTCAAAGTCCACAAAACCGTCATAAAAATAAACTGCTAAGACAAAGGAATCTTCATTCAGTATCTTTTTCTTTAGAATTTATACAAACAAAGGTGTTCTGAATAAAATAGCTCCTTCTGATCCCTCCTGTCTTCCATACTTAAGAAATTATAATTATCATTTTATGCATTTTCACTTGGAATCTTTCTCATCGAGTTCTACAACGTCCTTTTGCCTGAAGTTTATAGATTACTAATTCATATGTCTTATGACCTTTCCCAGTATCCCCTTAATCATGCATTCAAAATTTGGATGTTTGGCAACTGACATGTATTGGTGTGCATAAGCGCACCAAAGTGCCTACCATCCCTGTCCTATTGTTTCTTTTTATTTTCTTATACCCTGTTTCTCCAATAGGAAGTCCCAGAATGTTTTATAGGCATGAAATGAAATTAAGCCCCTCCCCCCAAATTAAGGCCTATATTAAACCATGCGAAATGGGGGGGAATGGTGGGGGGGCTTGCCGTTAGGAAGTACTTTTGTTGCACACCCGGATATGGTGCTGCCTGTGTTGACCCCGATACGAAGTGCCCCACCAACACCGAGGTCAACCTCCAAGCCGTCGCCACCCGCCCACCCAAAGATGCAAGGGGGGGGGGAATTAAGTCACCCCCAAAAAGACAGCCTAGCCATTTTTTCGGGGCTCAAAAAAAAAAAAAAAGACCCGGCCTTATTATATGAGAAACACGGTAGAGGAATGGAGAACTCTTCTTGTGAAATATTTCTGGACTTTCTCAACTGTGCTAATCTCAGATACGTAATGTGGGTTCCAGACTGATGAGCTATATTTGAGTATTGGTCTAGCAAATGTTTTGTATGCTCTAGTTAGTAGTGTCATATTACCAGAGAAAAAGCTACGTAAGATTAGGTTAACAACTCTTAATGTCTTTTTGGCTATGTAGTTACAGTGGGCTCTAGCACTTAGATCATTAGAGATGAGTACTCCAAGATCCTTGACAGAGTTTGGATCGTCAACAAGGTCTTGACTATTCAGCCTGTATTTTATTTTCTGATTTTTTTTTGCCAATATGTAGGGCAGAGCATTTATTTGTTGAGATTTTAAGTTGCCATTTGTTTGACCATTCTGATACATAGTCGAGGTCTTTTTGAAGGATAACAGTATTTTCTGTGGTGTTGAATAACTTTACATCATCAGCGAAGAGAACGCAGTTGCTCTTAATATGATCACAGAGGTAATTTATGTAGAGTATGAAGAGAGTTGGTCCTAGAACACTGCCTTGGGGGAAACCACTGTTGACAGGTACAGGATTTGATAGGACGCTCCCAATTTTGAACATTTGTTGTCTGTTTGACAGGAATGCTTCTATCCAGTTATGCAGGTGTCCAGAGATACCATAAGATTTTAGTTTTAGGAGTAGTTTGTCGTGTACCACTGAATCAAAGGCTTTACAGAATTCTGTGTAGATTGCGTCTATTGCTTTGCCCTGATGGTATATCTGGACAACTGCATAACTGGATAGAAGCATTCCTGTCAAACAGACAACAAATGGTCAAAATTGGGAGTGTCCTAACAAATTCTGTACCTGTCAATAATGGTGTCCCCCAAGGCAGTGTTCTAGGACCAACTGTCTTCACACTCTACATAAATGACCTCTGTGATCATATTAAGAGCAACTGTGTTCTTTTCGCTGATGATGTAAAGGTGTTCAATACCACAGACAATACTGCTACCCTTCAAAAAGATCTTGACTATGTATCAGAATGGTCAAACAAATAGCAACTTCAAATCTCAACAAATAAATGATCTGTCTTACATATTGGCAAAAAAAATCAGAAAATAAAATACAAGCTGAATAGTCAAGATGTTGTTGACGATCCAAGCTCTGTAAAGGACCTTGGAATACTCATCTCTAATGATCTAAGTGCTAGAGCCCACTGTAACTACATAGCCAAAAAGACATTAAGAGTTGTTAACCTAATCCTACGTAGCTTTTTCTCTGGTAATATCACACTACTAACTAGAGCATACAAAACATTTGCTAGACCAATACTCGAATACAGCTCATCAGTCTGGAACTGTTCAGCTGGGTCTTCTTTGGTTGCCCTGCACAGGAAAACGGAGCTGGAAAGCAGGTTAGTGGGTGGGGAGGGAATGAGATATTGTAGTTTATCCTTCCCAGATGTGGTATTCAGCAGGTTCTGACCAGTTCTGGAAAACCAGGAACAGAAATTTTGAGTCGTTCGGAGAACCGGCAAACACCACCTCTGACTGCCCCTGCCCCCATCTATTCTCTGCCTCCCGAGTCCCAGCTGATTGGCTGGGTCTTCTTTGGTTGCCCTGCACAGGAGAACAGAGCTGGAAAGAAGGTTAGTGGGATGTGACGGAATGGGATTTTGCAGTAACCTTCCCCCAGGGGAGGGCAGGGAATGGGGATTTTACAGTATCCATCCCCTGCCATGCCTGCCAAGCCACACCCACCAAGCCATGCCCACAGAACTAGTAGTAAATTTTTTTGAATCCGACCACTGAATCCACACTAACTGATTGGGAAAGAAGAGGGCGGGGAAGATGAAGCATCTTCAACAAACGTCCATTGATATCAAGATGACCTCACATGGGTACTGATGTCATAATACTAATCCCACCCTTAGCTATAGTACTCGTGCCCTGCTGTTCTGATGGCTGACTGTATACATGGATTTTCATATTCTTTTCCCCAAAGGACATCCATAATCATAAGGTTGAGGTTGGTTCAAGGACTATTATTTTTCTGCAGAAAGTCATCTATTCAGCCTCTCCCTTGAGGAGGAGGGTGATCAAGAAAGTTCTGCTATTTACTTTTTTCATTTGTATATGTCCATATCCTTTTTCCTAAAGCACACCAAAAGGTGGATTGACATGTTATCTTTGGGATCAAGCTGTTTGCTGATTGATTTTGATTGCATGGACATAGTGCGCTGCCGACAACTTGTATAAGATTTGCCATCATTTGAGATTAAGTGTGCTTCTTAATACAAAAGGTGCATTGTGACAACTCTGCGACAACTTTGCCTTCGGATGACAAGGCGCTTTAGTAAGAAGGGGAAAGTTGAACCACTACTAATCTTTTAACTATGTTTTATAATAACACAATTTTATCTCCTGCTGGTAGCATGGACATTAAGTGTTTTCCTGGCAACTCTTCAGAACTGATTTGCCATTAACTTCTACCGGGTATTTCTCAATCTCTCAGTTTATCTTGAGCTTCAGGATTTTCCTTCAAAGTATTAGCCAGATCCAACTGTCTTTTTATTTTTTTTAAGATCCCCCAATATAATGGTATGTGGAAACAATTTTGGGGGACAGGAGGAAGGGCTACAGACTAGCAGTCATCATGTAAAAGGATCAGCCCACTGAAGCAGAAGGGACTCTCTCTAGTTTTCTAGAGACTAAAAGGAAAGTGTTCCAATATTTATGGGGCAATAAAGATGATTAGGGGAGTGGAGGCTAAAACATATGAAGAATGGTTGCAGGAGTTGGGTATTAAGTTTAATGAAAAGAAAGACTAAAGATGAGATGATAGCAGTCTTCCAATATCTAAGGAGGTGCCACAAAGAAGAGATGGTTGACATTTTCCAAAGCACCAGAGGGGCAAGACAAGAAAGAATGGATGGAACTAACTAAGCAGAGAAGAAATCTAGAACTAAGGAGAAACTTGCCAATAGTGAGGACAATTAAGTCTAGCCTATGGTTAGACTTAAGCGTAGCGCACAAAATTATCTGCTACAATGTCCTACCAGTCAATGACTACTTCAGTTTCAATCACAACAATGCAAGAGCACACAACAGATACAAACTCAATGTAAACCGCTCCAAACTCGATTGCAGAAAGTACGACTTCAGCAACAGAGGGGTCAATGCCAGGAATGCACTACCTGACTCTGGAGGTTTTTAAGAAGAAATAATAATTCCACCAGTTGCTGGGGGATTTTGGGAGTTGAAGTCCACCCATCTTCAAACTGCCAAGACTAAAACATACTGCTCTAACATAAAAGTGGCATGTCAGGAGCAGAACGGGTCCCAGTTCCTGATTACATCATCAACTGCATCATCAGGGAAGTGTCCCCCATCGTGTCAAAACTAAATGTGTCAAGAGAAGAAGGGAAACCTTCATTTGAAAACTGGAAGAGTTAAAGATAATTTTATGCTGGCTCAGCTCTGGGCTGGGAATGAGAGAAAAAGCAATCTATTGAGAACATAAGATTTAAAAACAGGTATTGAAGCATGTTGAAGGGGCACCTGAGGATAAGCCCATAGTAGAGGTGGTGTTCAGCAGGTCCTGACCAATTCTGGAGAACCAGTAGCGGAAATTTTGAGTAGTTCAGAGAACCGGCAAATCCCACCTCTGACTGGCCCCGCCCCCATCTATTCTCTGCCTCCTGAGTCCCAGCTGATTGGCTGGGTCTTCTTTGGTTGCCCTGAACAGGAGAACGGAGCTGGAAAGCAGGTTAGTGGGGTGGAGAAGGAGTGGAGATTTTACAGTATCCTTCCCCTGCCACGCCCACCAAGCCACACCCACAGAACCGGTAGTAAAAAAATTGAAATCCAACCACTGGCCCATAGCCTTTTTACATGTTTTGATAGTGCCCTGAGATTCTGTCTAGAAAAGGCTACAGTTATAACAATACAGATAATCCTCGACTTATTCATTTATATAACAACGCAGGTAGTCCTCAAGTTACTCCTTTAGCAACTGTTCAAAGTTACGCCACCCAAAAAGTGGCTCATGACTGATCCTCTCACTTATGACTGTTGCAGTACAGGTAGTCCTCAACTTACGTAATACTTTACATACAGGTACTACCTC